ATGAATCTAGCAAAATTATTACGTTCGGTCATCGAACATTTTTCGGAGGCTAGTCTGGAAGCGCAACATCACCAATTCACTGTATGCCGTTATGTATTGAGTGACGTGACATTCCTTTATTGACCTCCAGACGGTCACGATAAATCTACGACTTAATTGTAGAATTCATCTGCAAAATGATTTCTTGGCTAATAATGCTGATGCTTAGTGGCCTCAAGTTCTTATCGAGTTGGTTCAAATGCTTTTCGATTTGCTAAACTTGGCTTATAATGCTGATGCTATTTCATTAACTTGGCTCTAATGACATTAGGTGTGCAAAATGAATTTGTGCTTTGCTTTGCTTGCAGTGTGGGAAAGTGCAAGGAGGAATTTAATATAAGGCATCGTTTGGGACAGCTTTTTTGCTACTTCTTAAATCAGCTTTCTAGTAAAAAAGAAGAAAATTTTTGTACTAAAAAGCTACTTCGAGAAGCAATAAGAAAACCATCCCAACAAAAGCCCAAGGTATCTGGCTTTCCTTAAAGTGATTTCTTGGAATTTAGCTTTGTTCTGTCATATGAATCCATTTCTTGGAGTATAAACCAAGCAATGCTTCCAATCTATCTATTTATACCAAAATTGTATGACCCTTGATGTAAGAAATACTGGTTCTTCTTTCATGTTCATGGAACAATATCCAAAGAGTGAACAGAGAAGCCATTGCTGCTGTATCAATATCCATATTAATAACAATGTACAGGGGGTGACCAACTCTGTTCTTCTGGGAAGCAAGGTTCTAATGAGAGATTCAGGGCTTAGGAAATTGGTTGGAAAGAATTTTTGCAAGAAACCTTTAATGAAGAGGTCAAGTGGTGAAGGGATTGCCTTCTATTCTTTACTTATTTGTTCTATGTTATTGATTCTTTCCATGCGGAAGTACTATTTTCCTGCCTAAGAATTACAAAAATGTGAAGGGAAGAATGAAAGATTAACTGTAAAAAGTGTTTGCTTTGGCTTATTTTTTAGTTCTCTTTTTCTTATTGTTTAGGGATATGTTTGTCATTGTTCTTATCAGGAAATCATTTATTTTTGTTTATGGATGCATAAGAAATTCAACATGAAGTAATAAAATCAACATGATTTTTCCTTAACTGATTCTTTCCACAAGAGGCCAAAGCCACCTTCCAAAGAAGAAGAAAGCAACAATCCATATGAGAAAAATGTAGCTCTACATTTATTCACTTAGGTTTCATTTGGGACGGCTTTATTACTGCTTCTTAAAGCAGCTTTTAGTACATTTTTTTTAAATACTAAAAAGCTGCTTTAAGAAGTAGTAAGAAAATAGTCTCAAATGAAACTTTAGTCTTTGTTGAACAACTAATTTTGAAACCATGGTTACATACATAAGAACATCAAAGACGATTGTGTGTAGGCATAGTGTATTTTAGAAGTTAAGCAATGTTCTCTTCCACTTATTATTCATTCATGCTAGCACGAAGAGTGAAGATTTGAAATCCATTGAGAGAAAGAGCAGATGACATGATAAAGAGATGAAAATATCATTAGTTGTGAAAGAGAATGAGACAAATGATAGTTAAGTTAGGAGAAAATCAACATCATTAAGTCTTCATTTGGGACGGCTTTTTGTTGCTTCTTAAAGTAACTTTTTAATAAAAAATTAAATTTTTTATACTATGAAGCTGCTTTAAGAAGCAACAAGAAAGTCGTCCCAAACGAAGTCTAAATCATCATAATATGGAAATCATATTCATGAACTCTCCATATATGAGTAATCACTCTTTACAAAGAAGCAAGTCCTAATAATTTAAAGGTTGTATATGGCTCAACATAAAAAAAAAAAAAAAAAAGCTCTATTCTTTGGAATAATGAAAATAATTGTATGTGACTTTAGGCTTGATAAAGGAAAGATTATACTTGTAGATCCTCTTTTTGTATACTTTTGTACATTTAATGTTAAATCCCTTGATTGGTGATTTTTGAATGAAAGAAAAGAGAAAATTTTATGTTAGGAGATTGTAGTGGCTCTTTCTTTATATTGATGTTTCATTTTGGAGTTATATTAATTGTCTTGTAATGTTTCTTTTATCTCCTTTATGTCCGATCTCTGTTCCCGCCTCGCACTTGCGAGCTAACCGGACCGGGTCGTGACAGAGCTCTTCTCACAAGGTGAATAAATGAAATAGAACATGATTCTAATTTATAGTTAATGCATCTTAGAGAATGTGAAGATAAAAATCTAGTATCATAATAATATTTATAGTCTATGATCATCATCAATCCTTAAAGATATTTTTATAATTTTTTCTACTTAATTATCTACAATTTGCTAGAAATAACTTATTAATTACCACTAAGCAATTTTAAATTATATCCACCATACATTTTTCTTACTCTATAAAAAATCAGATTTTTCGCATTCACTGCGGTTATAAAACCATCGTGGAATGTCATTGCAAGGAACTTCGTAGTGGTTAAAACCACCGGAAAAGATCTAATTTGCTTCTGCGATAGCCATGTTTTTTGGTAGTGTTAGTACAAGTCAATTACCTTGAAAAAAATGTATCAACAAAAATAATAATTACAATTTTCTAATGAATATTAGGAATTCTATAACTCCACAAAAGATTTGTTGTGTTTATCATGCATCTTCATCATATAGGTTATTCTTCTAAAACAATTCAATTTTTTGGATGTATTGATGCCATAATAATATAACATGAATTTTGTCAAACATAAATTGTATAACTCAACATAAATTCTGTAACTCTGATAATCTTTATATTTTTCTCTAAAATTATTTCTTACAATCTCTCTATATTTACAGACAAATATTTTTCCAACACTCGTATAGTTGACCTTGTCTTGACATTTTGTTAATATTTTTTTCTTATGTATTCTCTATTTCTACTCTCATTGTAGTACTTGAAGATAATTTAAGTACCTTGAATTAAAATTTTCTAAGCATAATAAAGAATCCTCAACTTGTTGCTTGCATATTGGATCAAACCACCTAAAACTTTATTGCTTCTTTCTATTCTTCTTTTCTCTTTTGATACTTATTTACCTTGAATTTCCTTATTTTGTATCTCATACCAGTGAGTTTTTCTTCTTCTTTTTTATCTAATACTAAATAATTATAATTTAGTCAGACTCTATCGAATAGTTGATTTTATATTTTTCATAATCCTCATGATCATTTTCAAACATATCTTTTCCTTCACCAAATTGAGTGCTCTCCTTTTCTTTCACCATCATAGAGTCTTTGTGATGTTCCAATTTATCTTGATAAGCCACTTCCACCATCTCCTCAACTACCTCTTAATTATATATTTTCTTCCTCATAAAGCATGAACATAAGATACTTCATATTCAATCATTTAACATAAGTACATCATCTCCTTTCACCTTCTTCCAACCAAATTACTTGAGATTTATTAGAACCAATAGGATGTCAAACAAGTAAATTTATGATTATTATGTGAAGACTCTACAAGTTGTTCTTCAAAATCCACATAGGATGCTCCTTTAAAAACTCCTCATATATCATGCTTCCCTTTGAATGCCAAGTTACTCAAGTTGCTTATATGGTTGCTCTAAATATTTTTAAATTCATTCTCCCAAGAAGTCTAATCCATCAATATCACTCATTAGAGTTTCGCTTGAGATAGCTTTATTACTACTTTCTAAAGCAGTTTTTTAGTACAAAATTTGTTTGAAAAAAAAAATTTGTATTAACAAGTAGCTTAAAAAAATAAGAAGAAAACTGCTTTAAAAATCTATAAGAAAGCCGTTCCCAATGAAGTCTAGGTTGGGAAAATTTATATAATAAGCCAAAAATGCCCCATCTCATGCAAATGATTTAACTATGGCTTATTATAATATTTGACATTTTATATGAGTTCATATTGTCATTATTCTAAGATTTTATAAAAATCCTCTCTATAATAAATATGTACAAAAAAAAAAAAAAAAACTGTGGATGATAATTTGTATTATCTTAATGCAACAGTATTATGTCACTTCAAGCTTTGTAATTGACTTGGTGTAAAAGTGATGATAATTTTCTGCTATAAATAAATAACCGATGCATTATTTTATAATCCATGGACGAATATTTTGAGAATTATCTTTCTATGGCCGACCGACTCATATCTTTTTTTTTATATACAATGACAAACTTTTTCGGTCAAAATTTCACCTAATTCTTCCACTTGTACAGCATATTTTCCTGAAATTACGCATGCCTACCAATATCAGAAATTATTTATTCCTTTAAGCCCTTTGTCAAGTCACTCATAATTAACACCACTCACAAGAGAGAAAAAAATACTCCAAAGTTATGCTTTTAACCAATAGGAACTATTTGGGACAACTTCCTAACTATTTTACTTTCTAGACAACAACATTTTCGATCGATTACTACATTTCATACATCTTTTTCTGATAGAAAGCTATTTTTTTACAACCAGAACAGTTAAAACTTTGTTTGTGACGGCTTTTTTATTGCTTCTTAAAACAGATTTCTAGTATAAAAAAATTAATTTTTATACTAAAAAACTACTTTAAAAAACAGTGACTTTGTTTAGGATGACTTTCTTGCTTCTTTCTGAAACAAATTTCTACTAAAAAAAACTACTTTAAAAGCAATAGGAAAGCCGTTCCAAACAAAGCTAGCCTAAGTTGTTTTTCCCATAACTTCACAATAAATTTTATAAAATACTAAAACTATTTCAAACACATCCTAAGATTAAATCAACAACAATAACAACATCAAATATTTATTCCTATACATGAGATCGACTATATGAATCTGTTTGCTCTATTATATTTTATTAAGAATTAAATTCTCATTTAAAACTAATAAACAAATCATTTTTAATATTTTCTAACCAAAATCTGTTTAGATCTACCTATACATTTTTTAATATAGACCGAATCTGATATATCTACTCTTCTAATCAGGTCATCAAAAAACCGACACTAAGATTAATCCACAGCCAAGACAAAATCACATGGTGATGAACTTGAAAGTGGAGGCATCAGAAGCTAAATAGTATTATATCTACATAAATTGTCTGCCTTTTAACTCTGAAAGCCTCAAGCATTAGAGGCAAGAAGATATTCCAACAGATGAGAAAGAAGTCTCAATACAAATCCTAACACATCAATGATTCAGACTAAATTCTGAAATTTTACAATTTATCATCTGCAGGAGTAGAGTTAGCCCAATTCGTATAAAAAACAATGAGAGCGCCATTGAGATTGATTCAAATCTTCCAACCTTCATGAGAATAAATACACACTAACCTGTAGCTTTGAAAGAATCCCTGGCTAGAGAGATCTAACTGATTGGGAGCTCTTCTTCCCTTTTTTGGACTTCTTGTTTTCCTGCATCTTCTTCTTCTTCTCCTCTGGAGTAGTCCAAGCGTAGTCTGGTGGTATCAAGAATGGATCCTGCATGTCTTCGACGCGATTGCTCGATCCCAAAGGCATCAATGACATCGAGTAGTTTTGACGGTACGGACCCTTCAACCATTGAAGCCAAGATGTCGAGGGCTGTGCGAGGGTGGAGGGGCTCTTGCTTCCGGGGCTTGATGGCGGTGTCGAGAACTCTTCGGCTGGTTGTATTTCTTCAAACTTTGTGAATGTTACCAGAACTCTGATGGTAGGGATCACCGGAATGGCAACCTGTAAAGGATAGAGTTTTATTCATGGATTATCATAGATGGAATATACAAAATGATGTACAGTGTCTATAGAAATCCTTTTCCACAACTTCTATCCATGTTGCCTTTGGTTTAAAAAAATCCCATTCCTTCCTAATCCTTCTATATTAAACTTCCAATTTTATCAATGCATATTTTATACTTCTTGAGGCATGCCAAAACCACACAATTTTATTCTATGTCCATATCTTTAATAGGTGCTATAACCACAATCTCTCAAAAAATCATTTCTCAAACTATCATTCCTACATTTTTGTTGAACTCTTAAACATGAAATAAAAAAAATAGAGCACCAAGTAATTTTTAGAAGGTAATATTTATACTCTAGAAAGCGCGCAAAGCTATTTAACAACTATATAGAATCACTATCCGACTCTTAAATTTCTTTGAGTTTAAAATCAGCTTCGAAATCTATAGGTAAATGTAGAAGATGACCAACAAAGCAGGGTAGAATTGATGAGAAAGGAATATTATAGCCTGGTTAGAAGTTGTGCAAAGAATAATTTAAATTAAGGTTAACAAAAGCAGCAGGAAAGAACGCAATAAGAATAAATATGACTAGTCCTAAATAAATGGGATGAGTTTACGCTTTGTTTGGGATGGCTTTCTTACTGCTTCTTAAAACAGCTTTTTAGTATAGAAATTAAAATTTTTGTACTAAAAAGCTGTTTTAAAAAGCAGTAAGAAAGTCATCCCAAACAAAACTTTAATGTTGGTGTTGGTAATGACAAACTGTATAATCTAACATACACACTAAAAAATGAAGATATTCAATCATAATGTCAAGTTTAACAAACCATAATTCATATCAACCTATACTGCTACTCCAAACTAAAATTGCATGAAGATATTATTCGTTAAATCACTCACTTTGACAGACTTTAATGAAACCTTGATTAACTAAAGAATTCAGCTTTAAATCAGGAAACCAAGTAGGAGCTCTAATTGTAAGCCAACCTGAAGAAAAAGAGTGCTCGTTCGGAGCAAAGAATATACTCAAACTCAAACCATGCATGTACTTATGAGACCATCCAAGGAACCAAACACATTATCAAGCATTCCAAGAAAAATATGAAGCCTTTGCAAACTAATGGGAAAAAAGATCACAATCGTAGACTGCCATCTTCAGAGCAGTAACTCTTCTTTCATACATTGTACAATCCCTAATCTTCAGAGATTTAAAACTGTTTTTTTTTTTGTTTTGTTTGCAAAATTGAATTAAATAGACCAATCAACATGGATCGCATTGGATAAAGAAGTCACTCAAAGTTGGGTGTGACAAATGAGATTATTAAGATGGATAAATGATAAAATTAGGAAGTATTAAGACATTATTCTATGAAAGAGATAATAAAACAACATCTATTGCAAATTATATGATTTGGGGCACATTTACAATGAGAGTAAAATAAGTCTCAAAGATGCACCAATAAAAAGGAATGCAAAGTAATATGATATTTATGAAGGACAACAGAGAAAAATATTGAAATAGTTCCTGCTCCCTGATTACCTAATGTCTAATTTAATTCCTAGACTCTTCAAAGCTGATTCAAAATAGTCTCTTGACTCCTCATATCTAATCCAAAATAATCCAACACAAGAACTATTTTTTATCATATTTAAAGAGTCAAGAGACTATATTAAATACATTAGATAATAGATACGACTAAGGTCCAATTTAACTAATCCAGGGATTACTTTGACCTTTTTCTCAAGAAGAATAATAAAGAAATTGTAATTGTGAGTAAGCTATTGCAGAAGAATCGTGTAAAAAAGAAAAAAACATCTCATATTACACTCAAAAGAAATTAGGGCAATTATATTTGAAGGATTTGCTTAATAATAGCTGGAATTATAATCGACTCAAAATCAAAATCGATTTACTTTGATGCAAGGATGGCTCATTTGGAATCTATTTGATTAAACTCGTTCAAAATTCATAAATTGTAAATGTATCTTCTTTTATATATAATTAAATTATTATTATTAGTAGTTATTATTATATATATACTATATAATTATATATTATATATATATATATATATATATATATGGGCACTTATAGTAAATAATTTCATAAATAAAATATTAAGTACAAGTGTATGCATGTGTATACTACTATAATCTCACTTACAATGACTAGGCTTAAATAAGCTTGAAAAATGACTCAAATGCAGCTTGAGTTGAAAGTTTAATTTTTCAATTTGCCATTAAGCCCAGCTCGGTCAAACTCAAATTAATGCAACTCCCGCAAGGGATGGAGAAGAAGGATTTATAACCTTGGCATCAAATTATTATATTAAAGAAAAAATCCATTCACTTGTACACAAAAAAGTTGAGGTGGTGCAAAAAACATCAAGTTATAAGGTGTCAAATTTTTGTGTAATAGATAATGGTCCAATTTAAAGTAAACAAGCATAACAAATAGAAATATTGAAGGTTTTCTTATTTATGAATATATGACCAAACGCAAAAAATAAGAAAATAAATTGCAAAATAAATTGCACACCTTAACATGTATATTTCATTTGAAAGAAATCTATCTTATAAAAACAATTATTTGGTATTATCAATGCAGAATAGAAAATCAAAGGAATCATGAACACATGAATTCGATGAAGATTTCTTCACCAAGAAGATCTACCACAAGAGATGATAACATAAAGCAAAACAACTATTAAAGAATTCATGCAAGTATTTTCAAAGCTATGTTGTTGAAGATTTGAAGAAATTCAGACTCACAATCACTAATCAATAATTAAATGAATTTTAAATAGTAAAAAAAAGTGGCATCGACAATGGAAGAAGCATTTCAAACAATCATGAAGATCATTTTGGCGGTTTACTCTTTGCAATTGAAGAAAAGAAACAAAGCTCACAATGAAACAAACAAAGTTAAGAATTATCCATATCCAAATATGATTAGTATAGAAGATATAATGGAAATGCAAGTTAATCAAAATCTTATTCATTAATTAGTGCATAAAACTACTTAAAAGATAGAGAAATATCTTATTAGAATTCATGTCTTACTAGAACCAAAGGAAAAACTTGAACAATAAGACCCTTAGCACGCATTTCAAATATGTCATCATTATCACCTGGCATGAACTTATGAGGCTGCTAAGTTAGTTTACTTTTCTAGACAATCATGTAGCTAGTCCCAGGCACTAAGTGGTAAAGGATATAATAAAACCACCGATCCAATGAGCTTTAGTCACTTATGTGACATTAGTAATGAAATGATAACAAATCTTGTTGACGGCATCTAATGATTTGCTATTTCTTTAAGCATGTGATCCATTTTTCGCTAAATCATAGAGATAATAACTTTAAGCACCAAGCTTACTTGGAGCACTTGCAACTAAAAGATGGGATCAAGATATTCAATTCAACACAATCAAAGATGAAAAAGGTTTGATAGTTCAATGTGTATATTTAGGAAATTTTAATTATAAATTGGTTGTATAGGATTTACCAAAGACTCATAGAATTACAAACACAATTAAAATTAGTCCAATTTAACTATATTAACTTAAAATTGCATTTTAATGTTTAAGAGAATTCCTATCTTTCTCTATCTTCTGAAAAATTATTTGACATGATTTTCTAAATATTTTATTCATTAATTATATAGATATTACTTTATCAATTATATAACTAAATATCATGTGCTTAATTGATCCATCTTTATTATCTAAATAACATATATCTTTAACAAATATATTATACCCTTAATTTCCAATATCTTCATTAATTTCAATAATTAAGCTTATCTGGATTAACTAAGGTTCAAATATTAACTAGGTAATTATGTCATCCTTAATAAGTTATGGCATAATTTCTATTCCAATGGATTCATTAAATTGTTTAAATATTTGATAAAGAATATCATGTATTTATGCTATAAATTCATTAAATTATGAAATATAATATAAAGTTCATTCTTCTTTTATTATGTGACAAGCCTCATGTGGATTTAATGATGGATGTGATATGCCAAGAGAGGCCCTATAAGTAGTCAAACTACCTGTAGGAGCCCACTTTTATAGAGATTTTTTGTGACTTTTCAGTGTTTTTTCTAGAATATTCAATAATATATACATATTAATTGATGAGTTTAAATTGAAAAATTCTTTTGAGGTAATATTTGAGAACAAAATTGAAAAAAGAATTTACATGCTCATTTAAGGGTCTGTTTGGGACAACTTTCTTATTGCTTTGCTTTTCAGATCGCAATCATAATTCTATTTGACTGTTGCTTTAAAAAATTCCTATGTTAGGAGGTTCTTTTTACAACAACTTTCTAAAAAATAAATTTCCTTACTTTATAATCACCATTACAAAAAGTTGCAGCCATTCCAAACAAACTCTAAATCAATACTTGAACATCTCTTAAGTAAAATTCTCACTTTCAATCTCTTACATCTTGTATTGTTATATTTTTAAGTGTTGCGGTAAGAGATTGTTTGTATTTGATTAATTAATTAATGACTTCAATCACCACCAAATTTTAGGACTATGACTAAATTTCTTTAAACTTAGTTGCTTGGATTTGCCTCACCAATTAGAAGAGGTGCAATAGTTGTATTTGGAGAGCATGCATGTGATTAAATTCACATGTGAACAAGAATACAATAGGTGTAAGACTATTGTCATATTGTGTCAATAAGGAGATTATTTCTCTACCATGAGGGAGCATAGAAGAATCCTAAGCAAAGGGGATCTTAGAAGAATTCTAAGAGGGGGCTTAGAAGAATTCCAATTAAAGGTTTTAGCAAGGTTAAAATTGAACCAAAAAAGACTAACCCAAACATAGCCCACATTTATTATTGGACCCATAACCCATCTGAGCAATTCACTATATAGGTATTGCATCAAACTTACCCAAAGAACCAAAACACAAACCATTTAACCTAATTATGATACATACTAGGGCTGCAAATGAACCGAGCCGAGCCG